AGGTCAGTAGGGGAATTGGTGGGAGACGAGGTTATGAAAGGAAAATAGGGGCAAATTGTGGTTTTTCTTGTTGCCTCTAAGTAATGCTCTTGAATTGTGAACTAGAAGTTCTCTTCTTTATGCAACTCATTAATGAATCTCTCAACTTAATAAAAGATAAACTATGTAGTTATTGTTCATCTCCCAGAAAGAATTAGTGGTACATTTCTTCAAATAGTAAGAATGTCTAATATATTTACAATGTGATTTGCTTTGTAAATGTAGATTGATATACAACTTCCCAGGAACACACAGATTGTAAACAAACTATATCTTGACTGGTAGGAGTGTCACCTCACCTGCATAGTTGGAAGGGCAGTCAGAGTTGTTTTTTTCTACTGAGGGAAATATATTTGTTTAAGAGGCTGAGGAGATGGCTAAAATGAGATGTGAATAAATATTATTTGCTTATGCACCAAATGCTTGGGAACTTTTTAACCATTGATTGCAAGGAAGCAGCCTTTGATCTTATTGATACATTCCTTCTCTGGATTCAGATTTTGAAGGTAAAATAAAGTTTTAATTGTGAACCTCTTGGTATCATTACTCTTAGACTCCATGTATATTTTTCTCTGTAAGTTCCAGGTATTTCCTGTATCTAAATAAAAGCTTTTTATTTTGAACTAACTTTAGATTCACAAAAACATTGCTAAACTAATATGGAAGGCATCATTGCACTGTATTGTATATCCCTCGCCTATCTTCCCCTAATGTTGACACCTTTTATCACCATAGTGGAATTATTGATGATGGTGCAATTATCAAAAAAAAAAAAAAACTGGAAATTGACATTGTTTCAATACTGTTAACTAAACAAAAGCCTTATTCTAATTTCACCAGTTTTTCTACTAATGTCTATGTTCTGTGCCAGGATCCTATCCAGCAACCACATTGCATTTAGTTATTATTATTTCTCCTTAATCTTCTGCATTTCTATGACCATTCTTAAGTCTTTCCTTTTCTTTTATGACCTTGCCATTTTTTGGTTATTTTGTTGGAACGCTTCTCAGTTTGGGTTTGTTTGATAGTTTCTCATGTTTTAATTGAGGTTATGCATTTTGAGCAAGGCTACCTCAGATATGATGTTGTATCCTTTGCAGTATAGCATATCGGCACATTCATGGTGTCAGTATATCATCACTAGATATGCTGACCTTGACCACTTTGTCAAGGTTATTTTTTCTTTGTACCTTTAACCCTGATGGTTTATCACTATCTGCTATTTCTGACAGATAACAAGGTAACAGATCATGGAATGTAGAACCAAAAAGGAACTTATAGACCATCTTTTGTTAACACACCCATCCTTTTACAGCTAAGCGCCCAGGAGCTTGAACAGATAATTATTTGCCCAAAGATCACCCAGTTATTTAATGACAGACCAGGAACTTAGCAGTTAGATCTCAGAGATCTAGGTTTGATACTCTCTATACTTCCTAGCTATGCTCAAACACTTGTAATTTACTTAGTCCTGGTTTTACCAGACTGTGAAAGCTAAATGGACTATATGACTATCCAGCCAACCTTTGCTCAAAACTTAAAACCAATATAAGAGAGAAATCCCAGGGAAGTATATACTCCACGGTTCATGGTGCCCACTCACAGAGCTGGCCAAGGCTGGAAACCAGATGAACTTCTGTATCAGCATTTCTGAAATGAAAATAATCTCATGGAATGCTCCACATAAAACAGAGAAAACAACAAAAAAACCTACTTGAGATTTTTAACAGAAAAAGGAGATTTGTTTATTAATAATTCATGAGTTCCCATTGAACATGCACGACAGAAACAGTGCTATTCAATAGAGAATACTGTCATCTGTCACTGTTTTATTTGACATTTACACTTTTTTTTTTTTGCCTGATATTGCAAAACTTTCTTGGATGGCATGCAAAAATTATATAAATGAAAAGAATCCCAGTGTGGGGACCCTTTATCTCTTCTGTGATGGGTTCACTCACAATTACATAGGTGTGTGTTCATGCAACCGTGTGGCACTTTCTCACACATTCATTAGCCAGCAAACAAGCTAATAAGAGATCCTATTGAGAAAACAGAGATAAGCATCCCAAATGTGCTGGTGAAAAGATGATATGAATAAAATGATGGTGCATGAGATGGGAAGTGAGGTGGAAGAATAGATTTCCTGAAGATAGGCATACAAATACGTGGAATGAGCAAGCGAACCAGAGCAAGGGGAAGACAAATCATGGCTGCCATGAAGAAAATTGACACAAAAATACATTGCCAGTTCAGATACAAAATAAATACCTATAAATGACATCACAGGAATGCCCATAGTAGGGAATAACAGCCTTTAGGAGAAGAGCAAGGTAGAGTTAGGATCACCTTCCAATTTTGTGCTACTATAAGGCTCTTAACAGTCTTTCTGCTCTGTAGGTTAGTTATTATTTATAAAAATCACAGAACCAGCTGATACATTCATAAGCTAATTATTGAGGCAGCTGGGTACACATGGTGCAATATGTCCAAGGCTGTGAAGTATCACAGATTTCTTGGGGCCTGCTGTGGTGGGGGTGCGCTGTTGAAGGCTCCATCCCTTAATCTGATCAGCCAAGCAAACACTTTGTGGGGAAACTAGATTAATAACCCTCTAAATACCATGAACGTGCTTCATCTCTAAAACTGGGTTCCCTTAAATATGCTATTAGCTCAGCTCCATCAGGGATTTGAGGAAGTCCTCTGGTGCCCTAAGAACGGGGTCTTGTTTGCTACCTCCCTGTGCCAGAAATTAATTTGGTTTGCTTATGTCTGCACACATGATCACACTTGTGTCTAATCTGCTCCCTAATAGCTTCAAGGTCAAGACCTTGCATGTCATTGGGCAAATTGGGCACTATACTTCTTAAAGACTGATGGCAGACAGCACACAGTCCATAACGAGTCCTGTAGTGTTGTTCTAAGTGATTGTAATGAGTGCAGATTATAACAGCGCATATAAATCAAATGCGGCAATGAATGTTGTGCGAGACATTCCCAGTGTCATAAGTGGAGATACCACTCAGCTGTCACCTGTCTCCTTTCTAGCTGCAGCTTCCCACAATGCAGTTCAGTCCTTAAGCGGAACAGCAGGTGCTATCTTCCTTAAGGTCTGGGTATCTCAGATCTTCATCTTTTAACAGACACAGGTTTTTGTTTCTATTTTCCATTAAATGATTGGTGTCCATGCTCTTGCCTCCCCTGGGAGATGTTAAACATACCTGTTTGAAACATATGAAAGAATTCAGTTGGAGACTTATTCAGATTCGTGAAAAGATAGAGAGGTGGAAGCTTATTTTTCCACAGATGGTTTATTTTCCATTTCAAGAATTCTTTTACTTTATGCAAAGAAACCCTTGAGGAAACACTTGAGGACTAGGAGATTTTTTTTTAAATATAGTTTATTTTCTGGTAGGGATAAAAAATTTGTCTTCATTTTTCATATACATTGCACCTTGAAAATCAACCATTACCTGACTTTCAGTTGAGTTGAAAAAAATAATCTATGAAAATTCTTGGAAAACCACTTCCAAGCAAATGATAAGATATCTTGTTTTCATTCTTCCTAACCTTCTAACTCTCCCAAGCTTTCAGTTTATTGCAAGAAAAGATCAGGTCTGTGCAAATGTGGCCTCTCACTTGTAAAAACAAGGCAGTGTTGTGTTACAGATTAGTTTATAAATCCCCGGTGGCTTCACAGTTCAGTGCCTACAGCTGCTGCAGATGGGCCTGGGTTTTTGTCTCTTCGCAATGCTGCAGCCGGCAGTTGAAGGAGAAAATGGAATGATCAGGTTATTAACATGGAGGCCGCGAGGAAGAGGCTGCACAATGAGAACAGCTGGTGTTGCTATCTTGGCTGATGCAGCGGAGATAATCAAATCTTGCCTTTTTTTTGGGTAAAGGCAGAAGACACAGTGGAGAGTTAGACAAACAATGGCTTATGATATTATATGGGGTTTTTATAATGCGTGTCAGGAACTTTCATTGGCTTACAAATGATGATACAGAATTTGTTGAGGTTTGGGAATTATTTTTCACAAAGTCATTTCTGTTTATGCACCTTTTAAGAAAAATTTTTTACTCTTTTGCAAAAGGCGTGATGTGGGACAGTTCTTGTTTTTAAAATTAGCGACATAGCTTGGAAATGATGGGTTAGAAAGCTACTGGGTAAAATATTTTGACATGAGTCAGTGAGCGATGTTGACAGCATCCTCTATTATTTTCATATAATCCATCATTATTTGCATTACATTTTCTTTCTCATGCAGTTGCAAGAGAGAGAACATCCGGATGCCAGAGTTTGGAAGCAGACATTTGCAGGTGTGACCCGACCAACTGCCTACCTTCCTGCAGGTGTGGCTGTGGTGGGAAGGTGATGGTTAAGAGGGCCTAGAGCCCGAGGTATTCAGAGATTAAGCACATATACATTTCTTTTCATTCTAGCCAAGGTTATTACTTCTATTTTGTGGAGTTACTGATAATTGTAAGAATATTTCCTCCCTAGAGAATTCAGTGTTGTTTACACCTAAACAATTTTTATTTTTTAGAATTTGCTGTCCTGTAATGCGTATTTGTCTATCTACATTCTTTTCTTAGCATGAAGTGCTGCCCAGTTGGGTAATTTTTAAAAACTGTAGCTGACCGACACAACTTACTTTTTTTGAGAATCGGGTAACTGTAATTTTACTTATCTTTTTTGGAGAAACTTCAATTGAGAATCTATTCTGTAGTCAGGGCGATACGATATTTAACAAGAGGAAGGATTCTTGGGCATTGGTATAACCACCTATATGGTCAGGGGTTCATTTTTAGAGTCATACTGTTTCAGTATCTCCCCTGGTTGGCGGGAACAATTTTGACAGAAAATGATGATCTACAAGGATGGCACGGGACCGCAGTCAAGGCCCCCTCAGCTCCTCTGCACTCTGCAGGTTAATGCAAGTGACCTCCTCTCTCTCCAGGGCTGGCTGTGTGAACTGCTCCGCTGGAAGGAGAACCCAAGCCCAGAAAACCGAACCCTTTGGGAAAACCTCTGTACCATCCGTCGCTTCCTGAACCTTCCCCAGCATGAGAGGGACGTGATCTACGAGGAGGAGTCAAGGCACCACCACAGTGAACGCATGCAGCATGTGGTCCAGCTTCCACCTGAGCCAGTGCAGGTCAGTGTCCCTGACCCCCGAACCCCGCCTGAGCAGGGCTCTCTGTATCAGCAGTAGCTGCTGAGGGTCCAAGTGGCACACACAACACTAACTTCTGTCAGAGGATGTCTCATGCCAAGTCCCCAATTACAGAAGATACTGTTGTCACAGTGGTACTGTGTGTGTGAGTGTGTGTGTGCATGCATGTGTGTGTGTATGTGTATGTACATACAAAAGAAAAATGACTGAGAATAGTTGAATGCCAAAGACAGCTTCTTTCCTGAGAGCATTTTATTTGTGGGATTGTAAAGCCAGAGCACTCATGGAGAATTGAAATCTCTCAATTGGAAAACATGGTTTCCATCAGTTCATTTTCCATAAAAAAAAAAACCTGTGAAGTAGTTTTGCATCCAAAATTCCTCAAAGAATGTTTGATTAGACTGAGAAGAAATAGCCACATGACCTAGGGAATACCACTGAACTCAGCTGAACCTTGAGAGGCAGATTGTGACAGATTCTTAGAATTTTAAGATGAGCTTTGCTGTCTTTGGTTACATCTCATTTAGAAATCTGCCTTCCTTTGGATTGTGTGGTTTGTTGGCTTAGTTTTTGCTCTCATTGAGAGAAATAATATTGCTTTCCCAAAGTAATTGAGTTTAACTACTGCCTCTTTCTGTAATCTAAAATTAATGGCTTTCAAGAAGAAATATTAATTGAGGTTTCCAACATTAGACCCCCTACAGTTTGGCCCACAAATTGTTTGGGTAGGTGATAAGATGGGCCTACTGCCCAATACTCTCAATTTCAGCTCTCACCAAAAGAACCCTTTGGCCAATTTCTGAATCTCTTGGAGTAAGAAGAAGAAAGTTGAGGCAAGAGTGCATGTGCACATGTGGGTGCAGAATGGAAGAGGAGAAGATGAAGAGAGAGGGAAGCACAGTTTCTTGATAGAGAGGAGTGGTGAGGGATTCGGTGAAACACCCCACCCTGAGGTTTCTGTCTCCTTTCCCCTTGCTTCCCCATCACATGCTTGGGAGAGAAGCCAGAAGTTAACAAGTTCTTACAGCACTTTTCATCTAAATAGCATCATCTCTACCAGTGCTTTTGTGCTATCATGGTCAGTTTCCAGGGTCAAAGTCACAGAGTAAACTGCCCAAATTTAATAGTTTGGCAGTTAGACTCATGAATTGTAGAGGCAGTCTCTTGCAATATCCACAGTGATCCTAGAGTTGGGGGTGGGGGTGATGAGGGTACATAGCTCATCCTCACCCTTCAGGACCCACCCTCTCCCTTCCCTTCTTGGTCCTTTTCTGACCTCATCCAAGCAGCAGGGCACCTCCCTATAGATAATTAAACCTGCTGATTGAGTCACGCAGAGCAGTGGCTTTCAGACTTAGAGATTTAATTGAAGTTAAAACTAAAGAGGGGCCCAATATAGGCTTTCTAACCTTTTAATTTAGGAAATAAATTTATTTGAAAAGTTTTAGGGAAGCTCCTAGTTATAATGAATATCATTTCATAACATACTCTTTGATATTAAACAGATTAATGAAATGGAGAGCCTCAGACAAAAGATCATATCAGTGGTACAGTTGGGCCATTTGAAAATCTGTCACTCCCCCTGCAGCACCACCACCTTTTTTTCTCATTTTGATGTGAACTGGATTAGACTTCTGTCTAGAACCAACACAAGGCCAAGGACTTGCTTCAGGGAATCACTGACTTTGCATGGAATTTTTATTCAGGGTCTATCTTAGTTCAGAAAATGAAGGAAAAATAAAACCACAATGAAAAAGTTATTTATTCTACATATTAATATCAGCTAATTTTAATCATAAAATGATGATAAAGTTGGAAACTTAAAGAAATCTGAGACAAAAGTACTAAAATGCATGATTTGCTGTAATTGAGGGCCTCCCTTCACCTGGATGATAGCTCTTATACCATACCTGTCTGGTTTTTGTCCATAAATTATCATCTTAGTGGGCCCTCTGTTGAGGTAGCTAAAAGGATATTCAACATAATATTTTGTCTTATAGTTGGCCAGTTTGAATACAGTAAATCTTAGAAGCAGGCAGCCAGTGGATTTATGAGTTTTATTATCTTTTCTATTAGTATCTCAGAATTAGAGTATGCTGACAATATTTAATGGTTAAGCAAGAATCTCTAATTTTCCTTTTCAGTTTTAAGCACCTTGTGGCTATTAACATAACTTCTGATAACACTAAGAGAAAATGCACTTTCTTTATAAAAGGTTGTTCCCATTACTCAGATCTTAGCTAAAGAGTGTACAAATAAGGTAATTTTCTCTAAAGTGAATTTGCCTCAGCCATTGACCTTGAGCTCATAACTACTGTGAAGCTCATCAGCACATCACATTTTTTAAAACATTATGCCTACATCTGAGTGTCACTGCTTTGCAATGTTGAATTTGTATGTGTCAGCAAAATGCAAAGCTGTGGATTAATTGTTTATTACAGTCATAGTACGAAAAGTGAAGAAAAATAACTGACGTTAGACAGCAGAACTACTGAGACATAGCTAATACAGTTGGGACAGCCTCTGTGACTGTATTTAAAAACATACCGGCCAGGCGCGGTGGCTCAAGCCTGTAATCCCAGCACTTTGGGAGACCAAGGCGGGTGGATCACGAGGTCAGAAGATTGAGACCATCCTGGTCAACATGGTGAAACCCCGTCTCTACTAAAAGTACAAAAAATTATCTGGGCATGGTGGTGCACGCCTGTATCCCAGCTACTCAGGAGACTGAGGCAGGAGAATTGCCTGAACCCAGGAGGCGGAAGTTGCGGTGAGCAGAGATCGCGCCATTGCACTCCAGCCTGGGTAACAAGAGCGAAACTCCGTCTCAAAAAAAAAAAATACCAAGCTATTGCAAAAAGGTCTGTAATTGTCCAAAAGTCAGGAACTCGGGGTTGGAATTCACTTGGGCCTTTAATATCAACGCAGTTTTTAGCGAGATACAATTACTTACCTGTTTTAAAAGTCTTGAAAATTTATATGTAGAATAATATTAGTTTGGTGATGTTACATTTTTGTCTAATTAGATAGGAAACGTGCATTATTAAATGTTTAAGTATGAGTGAAATCAGTGATTTTTAAGAGCTTCTTATATATGCAACATATTGAAAAACACAGAAGCCCTCTCCATTGTGGTCATGGAAGCGTGCCATTTAAATTTCTTTAGGTAATTAGGGTACACTATTCCCAAATTTTTAATAAAAATGGTAAAGATATGAGGTAGTGCTTTCTGTGCATAATTACCCACCAGATTAATCTGTTGTATTAGGGTCCCACAGATGTACTGGAATAAAAAGAGGGAGCTTTATATCATTCCTTCTCCATTTGGTACTTTCTGTGATATTGAGAAGTCCCTTAGAGTCACAGCCTCTCTTCTTACAGAAGAGAGGCACTTTTTCTTGCTTTTTGTGTGAAAATGGAGTTGACAAATGGACAGTTTTTTGTTGTCTTCAGATGTGTTTCTGTTAAGCCTACAGAGGGTTTAGAAACGTTAAGCCCTTGTCTTTTAACTTTTAAGTTCAGGAGTACACATACAGGTTTGTACGTAGGTCAACTTGTATCATGGAGGTCTGTTGCACAGTTTGTTTCATCACCCAGGTATTAACCCTGGTTACCCATTAGTTATTTTTTCTGATCCTCCCCCTCCTCCTACCTTCTGCCCTCCTATAAGACCCCCAAGTCCACATTAAAAATTAGAAGATACCACGTAAAATCTAGAAAGTCAGATGTGATCCACGCTCAGAGTTTTATGTAGCTAGAACCAATGTCCTTCCTGCAGGGCACAAACTCACTGTCCTGCTGCCCCAGATCCTGTCTCCCCTCCTCTGAGTGTATGTGCATATATAGCTGTCTTTTGATTTCTTGAGGCTGCCCTCCTATCAGGTCACCTGACTGCCAATCAAAGCCCCAAGTGCCTTTGCCGCATGGCTCCAGTTTCTTTGATGGTAGCTATTACATGCCATTTATTTTTACAACTCCTACACAGTTGTTTGCAGGCTTAAGTGTATGTTTGATAGAATTTCTCTTCAGAGCTGAAACAGGTTATAATTGAGACCAAGCTGGGCCTGAGCCACTGAGGGATGTTGTCAGCCCCAGAGACTTGCCAGCCCTGGAAGAATGAGATGGTTCTTCCTTGGGAATTTGGATTTCTTCAGGTGACGTGTAGCTTTGACATCATATTGAATTATCTGGTCTATCCAGGTTTCTCTTTAGCATTCTCAGTCTCTTCAGAAACCCCCATTTGAGCCCCTGCTTTTGGAAGCTAGCTCTTCAGGATCTGAACACACTTCATAAGCTAGATCCTGTCACATCATGAGTTCACAGTGGGACCAGCATTGCCCCAGGGGGTTGAGAATTGGTTCCTAGGGGAGGGTAAATATCTTAGATTCACAGTGGCTTGTGGCTCTCCAAAGGGACCTGGTACATAAAAAGATAATATCTCTCTGGTATTAAAATTTCATAAAGAGGGGCCACGATTAACACCAAAATGCCCTGAAAACCTTCTGAGGGGATTGGTACTGAAAAACAAGTTGAGATACACTAATCTACATAATGTTTCTAGTCCATGTGTAGATAGCACATGGGAGATCAACAGAGGGGAGACCTTGTAAGGCAAACCAAACCAAAGCATTTTATGAAAAAGAGGAAACAAATTCCATTTTTCACCCCAAAAGGTTGGAGGCAAAAGTATTTCCTGTGGTTGTAGTGATTTTTCTCCCAGTGATTATTATAACCCAAGGCCTTATGCTGAATGGATACTCTCAGCTTAGAATAAAACACTGGTTAGGTTAGGTTTATTACTACCAACTCCATTTTACAATTGGAAAAACTAGAGCAGAGACGTCAAGCCTTGCCTGAAGCCAGGGTCACCAGAGGAATGAAAACACAGGCGATTCTGGCATCCCGTCTTTCCTCTGACCACACTTCCCTCCTCATGCAGGAGAGAAGAAAGGACATTGTTCATGCCATGACTAGGTCACTGA